AGACTCAAGTCCACATGTGTCAGTGGATAGACCTGTGACCCCTGAACAGAAACTTCTGGTACCAAATTCCACCCTTCCTCTTGCTTCCTCTATTGCTTTGGGGAATTACAAACTCTTTTTGTGCTTCGATTTCCTCCTTTCTGAAATAGCAGAAGAGTGGCACTTGCCTCAACACCTGCTTGTTCTGACCCACGGAAAGCATTTGCCACAAAACCTGGCACACAGCAGGCACAGCAGTGCCAGCTCTCACTGAGACTGAATGCCAGCACAGTGCACATTCAGCTGTCAGTCATTCAATAAAGACATGAGCAAAAACTGATTAAAGTGGACTGTTTTATTCCTGTGTCCTTGCACAGGGATGAAGGAACTCTCTGGAGTACCTTTCACAAGGCACACATCCTGTTTTCGAGGGTTTTCCCCACATGATCTCATTGCCTCCTAATAGCCCCACCTCTAAATACCATCACATTAGGGTCAACAAATTCTAGGGGACACAGTGTGTCCAGTAGTCACGGCATCTCGATTTTCTTCCCTAACTCCACAGTGCTGAAGACAGTTTTCTTATCTCTGATTTAGCTCGGGGTACCTGGTTGCAGCCAGATTTAAAGTTCCCACACTCCTGGCTCATAATTTTAGTCAGAAGACTGAATTGCTGACCATTAATGTTTAGTAAGGTAACTGAATACAACTACTCTTGAAACTCTCTATTGAAAGCACACTGGGAAGATACAATGAAGAGAGACCACTGGAGGGTAGTGGATTGGATATTTGGTTCTGTTTAAATCTATGTGGTTAGAATTAATTCCAGCTGATAACAGACATAAACTTAAATATACAAAAGTTTACTTTAAAAATGATTTCCTTTAGGAAAAGAAGAATGAATAGATGGAGCACAGGGGATTTTTAGGGCAGTAAACTTATACTGAATGATTCCATAATGGTGGATACCAACACCCCATTGGACATCTGTCCAAACCCTAGAATGTACAACGCAGGAACGAACCCTAATGTAAAGTACCAACTTTGGTTGACAATGGTTTGTCAGTGCTGGCTAATTGACTGTAACAAATGACCTCTCTGGGAGTGGTGTTGACATGTGTGTAGGAGGGGTACATGGGAACTCTCTGTACTTTCCACTTAATTTCACTGTGAACCTAAAACTACTTTTAAAGATTAAGTCTATTTTAAAAATTATTTCATTTCTAAAAAAAAAAAAGCGTTCTCATGTAAACATGTTTGTGAACAAGCAGAACTTTATGATTTTCAAAATGTTCTTTTTGTTTTTAAAAATCTTAGAGCCATTTAAAAAAAATAAGATAGTAAATTTATTAGAAGCACAAAGAAGGGATTTGATAAGAGGACCTCTGTGGTAAATTATTTTGTTTAGTGAAGAATCACTCTAATAAATTTGATGTTTTGTTTTAGTCTATATGATAAAACAAAACAAAACACAAAATTCATTGATAAATCCAGGGATGCTTTGAGTATCACAGACTAGGAATTCCAGATTTTAAAGATATCTTTAAAACAGAACCCTGGGGGCTGGGGTTGTGGCTCAGTGGTACAGTGCTTATTTAGCATGTGCAAGATACTGGGTTCGATTCTCAGCACCACATATAAATAAGTAAATAAAATAAAGGTTCATGACCAACTAATAAAAATATTTTAAAAAACCACAACAGAACCCTGAAACTTGGGGTACAGACTCTCTCAAGCAGTTGCAAAGAACTCTCTGAAATAACTGGATGTTTTCTCTGTATTTTCTGATTGTTTTATAACCTTGTACAACTGTAGACTGGTAAAAGGAGGTAGAATATTCGAAGAAATAGGCAGATGAGGGAGTGTAGCTCACTGATAGAACACTTGCCTAGCATGTGCAGGGCCCTGGGTTCAGTCCCCAGCACTAAAAAGAAAGAGAGAGAGAAAGAAAGAGAGAGAGAGAAAGGAAGGAAGGAAGGAAGGAAAAGAAAAGAAAAGAAATAGCCTGATGATTTTATGGGATAGAATAGAAAGAGAATCCCTGCAGTCGTGGGAGACTAGGAGAGGTATAAATGGCCCTTTTCATTCTTGGAGGATGAGATGATTCTCTAGAATGTAGTTTACTATGGTGGTTCCTTCCACTCCTGAGGGTGACTGTGGACAGTCACAAAAAAGGAGAATTCCACCAAGATTCCAGTTGTAAGAGGTATCAGATAAGAGGCACTTCTAGTGCCTTGCACAGTATGTACTAAGCATATATCTTTTTGCGGGGGGGGGGGGGGGCGGAGGAAGCACTGGGTTTTTGATGAAACATTCTAAATGAAGAATGGTCTTCCTTTTCAAGTAGCAAAAGATCCTTGCAGAATGAGACTCTGTGAGAGGGCATCAGAAGTCCCTAAATAGAACAACAGAAATCGTAATAAATGGAAACCAAAGAGCAGGTGATTCTGTTAGGGTCAAGTAGAATCCAGACCCAAGTCAAGTCGCTGTCAAGTGAGCGGGAATGTCAGAAGAGCTCAGGTCCTGCCCAGATGGGGCTGTTCAGTGCTATCCACAGGCACTGGGGGCTGGGAGAGGGGGACTTTGAGGCCCTGGGGGCAGGCGAGTTAGGTGGGAATTAGAAATTGACAGAATTATGATTCTAGTTTTCCCAACTTGGATTTTCCCTCCCCCACCAAATCATACATTAAATTCTATGATATGTTTGTTGTATAAAAGGTTTTATACGAGCTGCATATATCACCTTGTAAACACCTTTAGAAATGGTAGTACTTTTAACTGATTCACACTTATCAGCTTTAATGCCATTCAGTGAAAATACTTGAGAATATCACAGCTGAGTAAATATTAAAGAAAAACAAACAAAACTTTAGGTAGAATGACTATAAAAAGTAATAAGCCAGCCAAGTTCTTTGATTTGAATTACTTTTAATCCCTATTACTTGTCAAAAGAAAAGGGGAAGAAATCCCCTCAGTAAAATTCAGAAATATGATCACCAAGCAAAAACTCCCCTCTAATTAAGTCTCAAATGGAAATCCAGTTTTTAAAAAAATTGCCATGGTCAGTTGTTGACACACCAGGACAATCTACAAACACAGTTGTTTAAACACAACAGATTGCCCTCACTCTGCAGGTCCATTAATCACAATTCAGCTTGCTATCAGAGAGAAAATGACTGGTGTTATTAAATTTCCACCCCATCACCTTGACTTTTATTTAGAACCATTCATCAATAATTTCCCTCCTCATTGGAAGCCACAAGTTAACCAAGCTAGAAAGTCATCAAAGAAATACAACAGACTTGATGATATCTTGGAAATGTAAATGCTTAGTGTGATTTTGTTAATTCACAAAGTTTCTTAACCATCTCAGTCATCTATTCAAGATACTTTTTAAGCCTTTGCATCAGAGCCCATCAGCTACAGACATATCAAGTAACATGTGAGGAAAACTCTTGAAGTAATAGTATCCAGCATTGGCCTCCTCCAGTGTGACAAATTGTTCACTCTTTTTAATGGTTCCCCCAAATCCACCTCTATTTAAGGAACCACAACTCCTTAATGATAGACTGCTAGTTTCATTTCACTGACAGAGCTGACTTCATGAGCAGGTGACTTGGGCAGTCACTAGGGCCCTGCACTTCGTTTAACACTCTGCTTTTCCTGTCACAACATTCTTCACATTTTTTGAAGAAGGGCCTTACATTTTCATTTTATACTAAGCTCCCCAGATTCTATAGCAGGTCCTAAGGAATGAAAGATGTGAAAGTGCTCTGAAAAGTGTTTGCTAAATTTATTAATGCCCTGCCTCCAATAAATGTCCCATGTTCTCATCTCTGGAACCTGTGAATGTTGTCCTATATGGCAAAAGAGACTTTGTAGATGGGATTAAATTAAGGATTTTGAGATGGATTATCTGGGTGGGTCTAGTGCAATCACAAGAGTTCTTATATGAAGGAGGCAGTAGAGTTAGGATGGAAAGTCATATAAGGGTGGAAGCAGAGTGAAGGGGGTAGAGACTGTTATATGAGGTCATGAGTCAAGGAATGCAGGTGGCCTCTAGAAGCTAGAAAAGCCAAGGAAACATCATCATCTCCTAGAGTTTCCAAAGAGAACACAGCTCTGCAGATCCATTTTGGACTTCTGACTTCCAGAATGCAGGATAATAAACTTGTTTTTAGTTATTTAATTTGTGGTAATTTGTAGATGGGATTAAATTAAGGATTTTGAGATAGATCACTTATCACAATTTGACTCACTTCACTACATGAAGTGATGTGTTGCTCATTTTGTAGAAATCAAAATTGTTGATAAGCAAATAGCAGCTACCACTTATTGAACACTTCCTATGTGCTATGCATTATACTAAGCCCTTTATGTATATACATTTATGAAATCCTAGAACAATATTTGAGGTGGAAATTAAAGCCATATAACTAACTAGAATGTGTCAGATTTGGGATCCAGGTTCAGTCTAAGTCACTCCAAGTCTTCCTGTACGTTTATCTTCGTTCCCATATTTCCCAGTAAACTTTGGCCTGTCCTCATGCTTTAACTTGCATTATGTGTGCACTTGTCACCGCAGCCGTAGGGGTGGGACCGGGCAGGAGGTGACACCCACTGGGGAGTCTGAAGGAGGAGGTGCTAAATGCTGAATCCATCTCGTCAAGACGCTGCTGGCGTCCAGGCAGCCGAAGGAGACACGAGGCTATAGGAAAGCGAAGGAGACGATGAGGCTAGGGCTGCGCGGCCGGCCCAGGAGACTCCCCGCTCCCTGACAGCCCGCGGGTATTTTGGAGCCCGCGTGGTCTCGCCTTATTGGCTGCCGCGGGGCGGAGAGGAGAAGCAGCCTCCGCCCACTAGCTCCCGAACTGCGGCGCGGCGCCGCGGGGGCCGCCGGGACCACAACTCCCAGAAGGCCGCGCGCTGGGGGCGTGGCCGCGGGCGAGGACGCGGGGGGCGGAGCCGCCGGGGCATGAAGCGGGGGCGCGCGGCGCTCCTACCTCAGTCGCCGCTGCCGGGTGCCCGAGAGCGTCCCCTGCCTCCGACCGGCGCGCAGACCTCCGCCCCTGGAGGCGCTCCGCCGCCCGCCACCGTCCTCGGGGGTCGTCGCCCGGCAGCTCGCCTCGACGGGCCCGGCCGGCCGCGGCCGGGGAGGACAACATGAGTCGGGGGGCCCGCCGGGCAGGCGCCGGGCAGGGGGCGGCGGCCGCGGTGCAGCTGCTGGTTTCCCTCAGCTTCCTGCCGCGCGTCGTCGAGGCCCAGGTGAGCCGGGCGGGGGCTGGCCCGGGGCCCTCGGCCAGCAGCGAGCCGGAGGCCGGGGCGCAGGTGCGAGGGGGAGCGGGGCGGGGGCAAGCCGACAGGTGCGGGAACGGCCGCGAACACCGGCGGAGCGCGGGGCGGCCCTCGGCGGCGGCCGTCGGCAGCGGAAGGGGCGACGCCTCCTAGTCGCTCCCGCTGGTGTCCCGGCGATGGTTTCGGCGGCTGGGAGCGCGGCGGAGCTGGGACTGGATGGAACCGCGGCCGTCGTGGAGAAGGGCGCACGGAAGTGGGACACCCCACTGGCCTCCGGGCGCCACCCGGGCCGAGGCGGCGACCCGCCCAACGGACCCCTCGCTCGCCTGGATGAGTGCGGTGGGCGCGCAGCGCGCCCCAACTTCCTCCGAGGCGGGCGCGGGAGAGCACTCGGCTTTACCCTTGCCAGGCGCCTGGGTCCGCGAAGTGGCGCTGTCAGGTGCGCCGAGTACGCGGGCGGGGGTCCGTGGTCTGGGCTCGTGCGCGGAGCCCTTGCCCTGCCAGTCCTGGGGTAGGGGGTGTTCCCAGAGTGCTGAAGTTGGAGGGGTCGCCGACCTTCTCGGCGTCTTTTATTTATAATTAGAGCAAACTGCCAGGTGCTGCCGTCTTCTCTGCACCTGCTGCAAAGTGGCATCGTTGTTGTGAGGGAGGAAAAAAAAAAGTCTCAGGTGGCCTGATAATGAGGGGAGATGTGAAACAATTAATGCTGGTTGCTAAGAAAAATGGACGGTAACTGTGAGTGTAACTACGTAAACAATTTTTTCTTACTTTTTCTTGGCTTTATGTTGTCCAGCACTAAATCCCAGAATGCCATACATTTGGGGGCATGTTTGAATAATTTTCAAAAGAATGATTTGATAAAAATAAAAGGGACAGGGCTGGGGATATAGCTCAGTTGGTATAATGCTTGCCTAGCATGCACAAGGCCCTGGGTTCAAACCCCAGCACTACCCCCCCAAAATAAGTAAATAAATAAATAAATGCAGATTCTCTGGCCCTACTTCCAGGAGTTCTGATTAAGTGAATCCAAACAATGACCCAGAAAGCAGCATTTAAAATAAGCCTTGCAGATAACTGTAGCGCCATTATTTTTTTTACCATCTCTTGGACTCGGCTTGGCAAACACTGAAATTGTGGAATTCTGGACTTATCTACCAGATTTATGAAAAGTAAAGTTTCCACAGTGTCTTTGGCAAAATTTTTTCTAATTACTAATTGAGTGGAATTTACATTTATATCTTTTTCTAAAATGGGATTTCTTATTTTCTATTTTCACATAGCATATATTGTATACTTAATCACTAGAAACTTAGGTTTCTTCACCTACCACTAATTATGTATAATTAATTTTAAAATTTTACCTGTACTTTTTAAAAATTTTATTTTTTGTAGGTGTAGAAAAGCACAGTACCATATTTATTTTATGTGGTGCTGAGGATCGAACCCAGTGCCTCACATGTGCGAGGCAAGTGCTCTACCACTGAGCTACAGCCCCAGCCTTTCACGTGTACTTATAATTTCCTTATATCCAAGTAAAAAAAAATATATATATATATATATATATATATATATAGTTCAACAGTTAAACATTTGTGCATGTTCAAAGTTATATCATGCCAAATAGAGTGGATATATTTTTTATTTCCAGTGGTACTTTCTTTTTTTAAAAAAATTATTTTTTAGTTGGACACAATACCTTTATTTTATTTATTTATTTTTATGTGGTGCTGAGGATCGAACCCAGGGCCTGCACGCCCTAGGCAAGGATGCAACTGCTGGTCTACAACCCCAGCCCCTCCAGTGGTACTTTCTAATGTAGTGTCTTTTGGTACATCTCTCAGAAGTTGGGCCATAGTGGTAACTGAAGTTCAGAGAACTTGAGTGATGTTAAACTGGAGCCCTAATACAGACTTCTTTTTGCTTACAGTTTTTTCAGTGTATTTGTTTCCCTGTAGTATAGAAAAGCAGAGAGAGAGAACTAAGTAGAGCTAAGTTCTTCCACTTATATATACTAAATTGGTAAAAAAAATAGTAAAGTTGAAGGAAATAATTAGAATTTTTGAAAAATGCCTCTGTTCACAAGGAAATAGTCATTTAAGGAGATATATATTTTAAATGTAATGAAAGCAAGGAAAAATTTTTGAGCACACAAAGTATTTGTATCTCATGCTCCATTTTCTTATAAATGTAAACATGTAGGGACTGGGGCTTTTGCTCAGCGGTAGCTCACTTGCCTGGCATGTGTGAGGCATTGGGTTTGAGTCTCAGCACCACATATAAATAAATAAATGATCTAATAACTGACAAAAAAATTAAAAAATGTAACTATGCTTTGTAGTATATAGTACGGTGAGCTAAACAAATACAAGTAAGTGATAGAACAGTCTTTCTAGAAAATGTAATTTCATCTGGGGATATTGGAAATCCTAAAGGCCTTTCTGAGGAGGCATGAATTCAAGGAACCTTCAAAGCACTCAGGCAAATTGAAAGCCAGCCACTTGGGGCCCCCATCATGCTGTACCAGTCCATTACTCTGGAGATTCTCTCAAACCCTTTGAACTTCTGCTGTAACAGTTTTATGGGGTGGACTGGGTAAGAAATAATACCTATGTCTGCCCAAAGAGAGGAAACTGATGAGAGACCCTATCATAAACTTGTTGTCCAAAAAGCTACATCCTTAACGTAAGAGATGAGTAATGAATCCTGCCATAAGAGGAAAGTAAAGAAACTTGCTAGAGGAGTGGGGGGAAACTCCCTTGAGAATTTGTAAGCATAAGCCAGTCCTTACAAAGTTTGCAGGCTTACTTCATACCACTTATGCTAGGAAAAGTTTCATGTAGAAAATTTAATTTATAGCAGTTCCAAGTTTGTATCCCCCAGGTTACCAGGGAAAGCAAATATCCATTCCCTCTGGAGAAATTTAATTTTAACTCAAGTCATAAAGAATTTTTGAAGATAAAATGTCAGGAAGAATAAACATAATAGTTAAAAAAAAATCTGAAAACAGGGCACCATGAATCAGGTGCAGACAGTTCTTGACCTGCAATGGGTCCCCCTTAATCATTTTATGATTTTCAGTTTTATATTTAGACAGTATTTTAACCCAAAACATGCTTAGTTATACATGGTATGAAAGCAACATTCTTTCAACACAAACTGTACTCTTTTCGTGAGCTGTCACTCTCTCAATGCTGAGCAATGGCAGTGGGCTATAGCTCCCTGGTGAGCATGAGGGTAACCCCCTATATTATACAGGGTACTGTGTTTCTAAGCTGTGATGTCTTGTAAGTTAGGTGTCTCAAAGGCATTTCCACTTGATAGTTTCAATTTCCAGGATGTATTCATGTTGTAAGTTGAGGAGCATCTGTATTAGAAACAGAAACATAATGAAATTATCAGATAGTTGAATATCTTTGATTACTATGTTTAAATAAAAAAAAGAGAAGCTTGAAAGTATAGAAATGGAATAAGAAATTTAAAGAATGACCAAAAGGATTAAAAAATAATAGGTGAAGAAATAAAGTTTCAATGGATGGATTAAATAACTGATTATACCCATCTGAAGAAATGATTTTTTTTTTTTTTTCAGTACTGGGAATTGAACCCAGTGGTGCTCTTCTACTGAGCTGCATTCCCAGCCCTTTTTATTTTTTGAGACAGGGTCTTGCTAGGTTTCCTGTCCTTGAACTTGAGTTCTTCTGCCTCAGTCTCCTGAGTAGCTAAGATCACAGGCATTCACCACTATATCTAGCTTGAAGAAATGATTATTGAATTACCCACATCCTGTCTTCTTTTTCTTTTTCCCCCATCACTTTCTCTTCCATTCTTACTCTCGGCTTCATGCGGAACAGAATTGGAGCAATCAAAAGAGAATTTCCACAGAGTAATTCACATCTATCCACTTACAGGGCTCTTTACCTATAGGTTTGATTTCCTATTGGTTACCATGGATGAACTAATCATGAATAGTTCTTGTCAAAAACCATTTCCTCCACATATATTTTAGGGCCCATATCTTTCCCCTTCAAGGACATGGTTCCAAAAGTGTTCCCTTTCTCTTTTGAATCATTGGTTTTTTACTTCTCTAATAAAATGTTACTGTCATCATAAAACAAGCTATTGGGATAAGGGTGTAGCTCATTAGAAGAACACTTCCCCAGCATATGGGAGGCCCTGGATTTGATCCCCAGTACCTCAAAAACAAAAATATTGTTTACATCTTCTTTCTTGATCCACTCTTCTTTTCTGCCCCATTTTTCTTGTTCTTTCAAGAAAAATTGAAAAGCATTGTATTTTTTCCTCCTATTTATCTTTGTTCCATTCCAGTCAGACTTTTGTCCCTAACACTCCTCTGAAACTGCTCTCATCAAGGTTACCAGTGTCCTTGTTGCTAAGGCCAATAGTTTTCAAACCACAGCTTTACCTTTTGACAGCATTTTTCATAGCTCCTCATTGACACTTCTTGGAGTACCTTTTTCTTTTTTTTAATAATATGTATTTTTTAGTTTTAGGTGGACACAATATCTTTATTTTCTTTTTATGTGGTGCTGAGAATCGAACCCAGTGCCTCATGCATGCTACCACTTGAGCGCGCTACCACTTGAGTCACATCCCCAGCCCATACTTTCTTCTTTTGACATTCAGGACACAATAATTTTTTTGGTGGCTGGTCTGAGTGCAATGGTGTTTACAGTACTTTTCTAGTGTCCTTCCCGTGTGATGGAACAGTCTTTCTTAGTATCCTTTGCTTGTTCCTCCTCTGCCCTTGACTGCCAGTCATTTAAACTTCAGAGTTCACATCTTGTACTGTTTCTTTATCTTCTTCACTTCATCTAGTCTCTTGCATTTAAATACAATACCATCAGTATTGCTGACAGATTTAAGTCTCCAGATTGGTATTCTCAATTCTACATCTGTGTATCTAACTTTTCTTTTAACATCTCCACTTGGGTGATTAATAAGTATCTCAG